GGCGCCTTTCGTCCTTCGTCTTGTCCGCCTCGTACTTCCCCCCCCTCCCCCCCCCCTTTCCCCCCTCCGTAATCGGCCTTGGCTGCCATTATCTCCTTTTCGTAGGTCTGCTTTAGCAGCTCAACACGCTCCGCGTGTTGCTGTTCAGCATTTAGCATTGTGTTCCTCGCCGCATCCCTCACTTGCTGCTGAGTCAAGTGTGGTTCCTTGGCGTAAAGCTGGTTCTGCAACGAGTTGGTTTTCTCTTTGGGTTGAGCTCGATACCCTCTATGGCTCTTGCTATAAGAGTTGAATCAGCCACATGTTCAGATACAATCCTTGGTTCAGGTCCGACTCAAAGAGCAACATAAGACAAAGTGAGAGAAAGGTCAAAGCTGGCTGAGAAACAGATGAAGCAAGACGCCTTGCTTCACCCAAAAGGGGGTTCAATGTTCAAGATGCTGAAAAGAATGAGATCTTGACTTGAGAGGAATCGGCAGGTTTTGGGAAATGAGAAGATGCCGAGGAAGTTGGGTTAGAGAGACAAAGAACTGAGGTGAGGAATTTAAAATACCTCAAGATATATATAGAGAGGGATAGGAACTTAAAAAAAGGAGAGTGAAGAGAAGTAGAAGTGTCGTGAGGTTTAAGAAGGTCTTTAGTACTCGTTCCAATCCTACTGAGAACTATATCAAACGATTTACCTATGGTAGGAGGATATTTACAGTTGAACCTCGCAGTAGTCTCTATCAAACTCACTCTCACCTTTCTTAAGTGGACATCTGAGCAACTAAAAAGGGATGACCTGATCCTCACTTTTTTTTTCAAATCCCATCAAAAGTAAACATCATCCTTGCGCTATGTAAAGCCAGGGTTCCGGCCTAAATTTTTTTGGTGAGGATGGTGAAAAGGAAGGAATGTGTAGCTGGGGATGTTGACAAGTGGTAATTGAATCTGATGGCACAAGTAGCTTGGAGGAGAGGTTCTGTGATCTTCACTTTTGTACACTATTCTTGCTCTCACAGAGTTGTTCCATTGCTTATGCATTCTTGTGGTGCCTTACTGATGTCTTCTTTAACATACATCTCGTCCCCCTTCTTGATTCAGTTAGAGACGGCCGAAAAAGGTCGAACTTGTGAAGTGGAAGTAGGGTCATGGTGAATGTAAGAAGAAAAGCAGCTCCAGGAAGGGTCGCAATAGTTACGAGTCCAGCTCTTGCTCGGCCATTCACGCTTCCCCAGATTGCGGTTCAAGGTATTGTCCAGTGGTCCTTGTGGTCCTTCTTCACTTACATCCCAACTAAATCATTCACAGGGTGTCCAATCCATCTTTCCAAAAGGATTCTCACCTTCACGAAAAAGTGACTCACCCACTTTTCAGTATTTTCACGCACACAGATATGACTCCGCCGGGTCTAGTAGTCTTCCAGTTACGAAGGGGTCGACTTTGTGAAATCGAACAGGAAACGAGTATGCATGCGTAAACTCTGGACTTGGCAGCCAAATGAGAATGAGACCTTGGTTTGAACCTGGGCGATGGGATGACCGTTGAAGGTACATGTGTATTGTAACATCTCACATTTGCAGCTGCGATTGGTCACGTGTTGAACGCCACCTTTAGAATCGAGGGACTGAAGATGGCATGGCGGGATCAATTGGAGCTTGTGGTGTATGCGGCGAACGTTGCAAGGACCCATATCAATTTCACCAGCGTACGGCAAGTAGCACTTTCGACTACCAAGTGTGTTGCAGCCATAAGAGCACACCTGTTGTCCAGCCTCCACAAAGGTTGTATATTCCAAATCGAGCATGGATGAAGCGTCCGGCATTGAGCGCAAAATATCAACGGGGATTTTGGAGTCGGAGAAGGAGGGATATTCGAACTCTTGGAAAGCTTTTGATACCCAAGAACATCGGCTGGGGTGTCACAGGCATAGTCCTTCCACGTTTCTCAAGAACAGTCAGATAAAAGGCAAGCATACATTTACAATTCAACGCAAAGCATATCGAGTTTGAGGTCGAAAGGGTCGTAAACATCAAGTTTACGATCTT